TAATAATAATAATAATAATAATAATAATAATAAACATTTATTGCCGGAGAACTGATATCTTACGTACATTTTCTATTAAGTCCATTTTGTTTCTACCATGGTACTATACTACCATGTATTTTTTTATATTATTTTTAATATTTAAAAATTATATTAAATTCCAACTAATAAATTAAGTTACATTGGATTTTATAAGTAAAAAGCTCTCCTAACATTTTTTTATTTATAAAAATTAAAATTAAAATTTTATTTAAAAAAATTAGATTTTTTCTATTTAAATTAATAAATCTTAGCTACTATACTAGTACTAGTATGTATAGTTGTATGTATCCGTATGGAAGACTCCCCATGGATTGGATTGGCTCATCGGCTCATTAATCTGGCCCATTTAGTAAAGACGCTCCATTGGCCCTTGACGTGGGCTGAGGCTAAACCAATTGGCCTGGAAAAGTCATACTTTTTTTTTTTTTTTTTGGGTAACTAGTCTAATGACCTGGAAAAGAAGAGGTGGGGCAAAAAAATAAAAATAAAATAAAATAAAAGGCATGAGTAAAGCCTCCAGAACTTCACCAGGAAAGCGGGCAGCAACTTGGGGTGCGTGAAGAGGGACAGGTTTGGGAGAAGTCAATTCTTATGGTGGGTTTGCAACAATTGGGTGGAGAAATCTGATAGGACATATGCCTAATTCTGCTCTACTCCTTGGGTTGGGGGTGGGAGGGAGGGGGTGAGTGGCTGGGGTGGGGAGCTAAGAGGAAAGAGTCAAAGAGGTTGGTAAGAACTATGGCCTTCACTAAGGGTAGAGCCACCACACCTTGTAGGTGGGGTTCTCCACTTGATTGTATTGATTTATAATTTTGAATGGATTTGTTGTTGAAAGACAAAGTTAAAGGACTAAATTGAGTTTATATCAAAATATGTTGTCCAATTTAAACGGGTTTATCCTTTTTTTTAATTGAAAAAAGGAGAAGAAGATTTTATTGATTATATTAATAAATAAATAAAATTTTAACTTATATTCTTAAAAATATAATAAATATATTTTTTCGTTAAAAATTTATATTTAAAAAATAAAAATTAATTTTAAATTTATCAAATATTTAATTAAATTAATTTACTTAATACCAATATTATAATTACTGTCAACTTTTATATTTCTTTGTATACATTAAAAAAGCCCTAAGACAAAATCAAAAATACATTAGAGTCTGTAAAACTTAGTCCTATTTATATCAACATACAAACGCATATCCAACCCAAAAGAACAGCATTGAAACGAACAGTAGGCTAAATTAGAATGAGATTCTAAAGAATGACCCATACTTGCTTAAAAAAACAGCACATTTTTTTTTATGAGAAAATCAGTGCACATGTTAACTTTCTTCTTTTTTTTTTTTCTAAATAAAAATAAAAACAATTATCTATTTTAACTATTACATATTTTTAATAAAAAGTAAAAAAGAGAGTTAAAAGTCAAATATAATATATATTTACAATATTTTTACTTATACGATAAAGTGTTACCACTTTATTCGTAACATGAAGTACACACATGTTAACCTCTCTTTTTTTTTAACATATTACAATTTTAGAGAGGAGGAATCCAAACTCCAACTCTAAAATTAAGGGGTGTATCTTTCAATAAAATATATAGTTACGAAATCAAGAGATCTAAGTGCATTAACTTTATTAAATACATACCCATGCTAAAACAGTTTAGATCTGCATAATCCCAAATCAAACCTCCAGTTAAAATTAACATTTAGCTTCTTACCTTACAAAATTTGTAGGTTTTAGCCTATAACTTTATAATATGACACTTTTAGCCTTTTATCTTGTAAAATTTGTAGGTTTTAACCCCTCACCTTATAAAGTTGGTAGGTTTTGACCTTTCACCTTATATTATAACACTTTTAACCCCTTATTTGTACGAATTGAAGAAAATAGCCCTTATTTGACATCAAATGTTAATGTTTTATTAGTTCTATTAACTGACTGTCAATTTTGTTAGTTGACTGTTAGTTTTATTAACTGACTGTTACTTCTGTTAGTTGATTGTTAGTATCAGTTAGCATTTCATTAATAAAACTAACATATAAAATTGAATTTAAATTTCATATTGTTTATAATGGAATGCTAACAGATGTTAATAGTCAACTAACAGAATTACCAGAATATTATAATCTGATGTCAGGTGAGGGTTATTTTCTTTAATTCGTATCGGTGATGGGCTAAAAATATCATAATATAAGGTAAATGGTTAAAATCTACCAAATTTGTAAGGTGAGGGGCTAAAACTTACTAACTTTATAAGATAAAGGGTTAAAACTGTCATGTTATAAGATGAGGGGTTAAAATTAACTAATTTTATAAGGTGAAGGGTTAAAACTAACTAATTTTATAAGGTGAGGGGCTAAATGTTGGTTTTTGCCCAAACCTCCTTAATGGGGTTTCCATTTAAAAAAGAAAAAAAAAAAAGGGATGAGTGTGCGGTGTGCCTCCTGAGTCGTGCCTTGCCTGTAAAATTCTTAAGCTGACGCCTCACGATAACGGTGGTTATAAAGAATTTTATAACTCTAAAAAAATTTTAAAAAATAAAAATT